GGCACTGTAACTCAGTATATATTTCGAATTCGAAATTTTTGACGCCGCATTCGTTTTCTCCACCCCAAAATTACCTTGACCTGAAAATTTCAGATCGATCGGAGCACTTTTCAAACCCGGGGATATTTAGCGGCCATCCCCGGGTTTTGCGTTTTCATTTTTTAGCCGCCTGATATAGGTAAAGTGTGTTGAAACCCGGGTAAGATGAACGAGTTTGATTTTCAAATTTTGCACAGCATCATCATTATGGCCAAGGATCATGGGATAATTTTTTCGAAGACAGGGGGGGGGATGGTGACGATCCGTTCCCCCCCCCCCCCAAATAAATTCGGCTTTAGCTCGGAACCCGCCCTAGTAGACTTGTACCGCAGTAGGGATCTGCCCGCGCGTTCACCACGATCATGCCGTGCAGCTTCGTTCGAAGATGCGGCGGGTTTGAGGTACGAAAGGGTACACACCTGGTCGATGTACTGATGGCACATAGAGTAAACCGGGGTGGGTATTAACGGACACCCCCCATCAACGGACAGTTTTTTCAACAACCATATCTTACCGCTCACCCCGCGGAAAGCTGTGCTATTTTTGGAGCTCATCTTTCATTTAATTAAGCTCAAGTTTACTCAATTTGGTGATGAACTTCGTTCTAACAACAACATTCGGCCCCAGATGATGTAGAATTTTGTCATTTTTCTGCCCACGTGGTGGCTCCCGCTAAGCGCTACAATCAATATAAGATTTGTTTTTTCTCAAGCAAAGTCTATGATGTAGTCTAGTGGTGTAGAGGCCTAGACGGCACTCAGAGGTGTGCATACAATAGACAAAGTTCAAGCTTCTGTTCCGTTAATCTTCCTGTTCCTGCTTTTTTTTTTCGCTTTTTCTTCTTTTCCTAGCTCGATTTCGGGCGAGAAAGGGGCCAAAAATAGCGTCTGGGTGTCATACAGAGACGAACCCAACTCCGATGGCACCAAAACTTTGCATAACGTCTGTTCTAGGGTTGCTTGCCACGACACTGAGCGAAAAACGAGAAAGAAAACGCTCCCAACCTCTTTGCACGACGCCTAAAGTGGGCCTAATTCGGCCCAAAAACAGGCCCAAAAAACAAGGGGACTCCTCGTTTTTGTCCCCCTATATATTGGCGTTTTTTTTTCTTTCCCAATGGCTTGGTATTACCATCACCACGGTGCGTGCCAAAGGACAAGTTTTGAAATGCAGTAGAACGTGAGAAATCACTACTAATGCAAAGTGTCCGTTAATTGGCGCCGGGGGTCTTATCCTCCGTTTTACGGTAAAACTTCAGGTACACTTCAACAGCCATAACTCATCAACACTTGAGAGGTAGCCTACGACATAGGCTACCGCTGGATACTTTCATTCACTTCAAATTCGTTCTCACGCCCGAGAACGAGCTGTTGGCGTGGGAGCGGCCTAGGTGTCCGTTAATACCCCGGTTTACTCAATGCATACAGCCGTAGACTATTTGTTTTTTTCTGTCACTTTCACCGTCCGTTGCAACGTCGCCATAGAGCCACAACTAACCCTGAACAACAACGCTTAACCATACGCGCAGGATACGGGACACGGGCAAGAGATTTCGACGATGAGTTCCCGGAGATGGGAGCGTGGCTGCGGACAGTCTTGAGATGCGGAGGAGCTGCTGTGAATGTGCGCGGTACAACAAGGAGTGTGTGTGATGGCCTAGACTAACGCCTTGCAGGTGTATGATGTTTTTTTTTTTTTTTTCTCCCATCATTGGACTCTGTCGTCTGCCCTTCTGGCCCCTATCCTCCACTTCTACCAGCTAGACGACCCAACCGGGGTCACATAGGAGGGGGGGGTTGGACCCCCTCCTGCGGTTGGTTCCTGCCTGACATATTTTTTTCGCGAGAAGGGTACAGCAATCCCTTCCCTGGCGACTTTTTGTGAAGTCGATCAAGTTTACTAGCAGCAACGAGCAGTGCAGCGCGTCGCTTCCAACGGAAATGCGTGATATGTTGACCTTGTACATGATCTTGCTGTAGGAAGTGACAATGCTCCTCTTCGTCTATCGGGGTTTGTTACGGGTCTTGCAGCATGTTACCACAGGAAGTGTCGACAATTTCGGTCAGTCTACAGTGTCCACGCACAATGCGGGGGAAGCAACTCCCTGCTCAAGGATATAGCAGGGGGTGAGTCTTAGTTGCCCCTCTCCGGTGGTGGCGCTATTCCGCCCTTTGTACTTAGTCTTCTTGCCAAGGAGAGCAATAGACACGAGACCATCGACATCAAGTTGAGGTGTATCGACCTTCTCTTATCGGAGCCCCCTGTTGTGAGGTACCCTCTACAACGGAGCCACGAGTGTACAGCAGGAGAGCTGGCGACCTGGCCGAAAGTGGTGGTCTCCATGTCGGAATATGTTTGCCGCGGCTACAGCGCGCTCCCACGGTAGAAAATGAGTTTCGGAGCAACGCTAACCCGGGACCAATGTTGTTGTTTTCGTCGTATTTTTTATGGCGACAGTCCCCCCATTTTCGTGGTAAGACGTTCACTACGTTTTTAGTGTCTGTAGAGTACTACTGTACACTTTTTAGTGTATTTTTCCCGACGACTACCGTATATGACATAATATAACACACCCCGGTGATAACGTTTTGGAGTTTGAAAATACTATCACAGGGTGTGGTATCCTGTGGGGGGGGTGTTATCTTGTGTACCCCGGGTGATAAAGTGCAGCTCGCAGGGGGCCCTAAGGGGGTGTGATAAAACAGGGGGTGTGATAGCGCGTCCGAACACCCACAGCGTGTGTTTGGGGGTGTGATAATGAGAGGGTGTGATAAAAGGGGGTGTGATAGCACGTCCGAACAGCCACAGCGTGTGCTTTGGGGTGTGACAAATGAGGGGGTGTGATACACTGCTTGTAGAGATGAACCGCTGCTGCCGCACACTTGAAAGGGTGTGGTATTGCGGAGGCGTGATAGCCTTGCCTGCACGTACACGTGCAGTGTAGGGACCTACCTGAAGGGGCGTGGAAAAACAAAGACAAGGGGCTCAACCGAGGTGACGAAACTCCTGAGCACATGACCTCGGCGATAACTCAACCCCCTCATCGCCAAAAAAGTTTGAAACAAAATACGGGCTTGAATCGAGCAAAAAAAAATTAAAAATCGAAGGTACCTCGACCGACACGATGATTGGCGATGGCCACAGACTGCGCCATCCTTCCTGCCCCCCTCACAAAAATGTTTGCTGCTGCTTGCCTTGCTTTGGGTACGACCAGAAGAGAGCTACGCAAAGACGCCACGAACAAGAATCAACGACCATAAGCCGCAAATCTACACCGAATACGAGACACAACAACGTTGCACTCCACGCGGCGACGAAAACAGCCGACAGTTTCTTCACACCCGATCAAAGACGACGGAAGGAACAGAAAGGCACGCCAGGAAAAACCCGAGGAAACATGAGAAGGACACCACAAGCCATTTTCTCAACACCAGCATCGCTGCCGATGCCTCACAGCTCCTCGCCCTCGTCGTCGCTCACGTCCACCACCACCACGCCCGCGTCGTCATCATCCTCGATGTCCAACACCTCCAGCAAGTTCTCGCCTCCGGACGACGCGTCAGCCTTGTCCGCAGCGTCCGATGGCGCGCCGATGGGCTCCCCCTTGGCGTTGGCGCCGAGCTCCTTATTGGTCCAGGCCTCGTCTTCCGACCCGTCGAAGGGCGGCAGCAGGCCAGCCTTCCTCCAGCTCGAGCGGATTTCATCCGCGGTCAAGGCATCCCACGCCTTCTTGACCCACTGTGCGACCAAACCCCGCGAAGGGGGCTCCGGGTAGCCGCGGTAATTGCGTGTGACGTCCTCGGAAGCCATGTGATCGTCGTCTTCCAAGCCTCATGTCATCACGACTGGACAGACAGACCTGCTCCTCCTCCGATGCGGGCGGTGTGCGTCTATATGTAGGAACCGAGAGGTGATGAGGGTAGGATGAGACAAGGTTCACCAGGGGCCTCAAAAAGAAGAACAACTTTCTTGCCTACAACCAGTTCGGGAGAACACCCATACCATGAGCTAGGTCACTCGAACTGCTGGGAGGTGGCCCAAAAGTTGCCTTGTGTTACTCTCTATCGGCGCCATCTCCTCTATACAGCTGTTGCCGCTTGGAATGCAGATTAAAAAGTCGCTGTGTAAGGGGTGATTGTTCTAGGTTGAAGCTGCTGTTGCTGCTGCTTGCTTCTGTTGCAGCTATATTTAGCTAGGTGCTGCTGCTGACGGCCGCCTCTCTCTTTCGGTTGATAAAAGCCGGACGCCACCTGAGCGGCTGAGAGTTTGCTTGCTAGAAGCCTTGACAGGGTGCTTCTCTGCGGAAACAACACCCCTGCTAGGTGCTGCTGGCACCTTGCATGATGGATGGCAGCACCCAACCAAGCACACCTATTTTCTTGCTTGGGGAGAAGAAGAGGCCTGGTAAACGGCGCGCGCGAGTCTTTCGGCCAATCAGTGGCGGGCCGTTGCCACGTCATGCCAACCAAAAAATCTGAGCCTCTTTTCGGATCATTTTTATGCTAATTTTTATCCTGGCATTATTGGCTGGGCATTTTGTCTGGGCAAAACGAAACTTATTTCCGAAACGCCCTAATGTTTAAACCCAAACAATGTCGTTAACGTTTCACATGGTCTCCAATTTGGCGCAAGTATGGTGATGTCGTCGTTGCCGCCATTTCCTCGGCCTGCTCCGTGGACTCGAGGGTGTCCACCGGAGCCAAATATCCATCTTCCGCTTCGCTGCTACTCCCCAACTTGCGCCGCGCCCGCTCCGCGTTAGCTTGCGCGTACGTCGCCGGGGCTCGCCGCAGGTATGGCGCTGTGGGGGGCACGGAAGGGGTGGGCGAGGGGGGGGGGGGGGGGGG